TAAATAGTTATTAAATGGATACTTCTTAAGAGAAATGTTTCGGTTTCAAGTGAATGCTTCAAACTATCAATGAAGGATTACAGATTTAATAACTATTTGGTAAATTTGTGAAGAAGTTAACAGTAAAACGTGTCCGTTACTTCTGATCGGTGACAGGTTCCGAACTGTATTGTACAACATCGACATTATCCGGATATTCACTTTCCCTCGATGTCGACTCAGTAGTATAATTTTATTTGGCGCTTTGGACAAGTAAATTATAGCGAAACGTGAGAATTTGATTAAATTCTAAATAACACAACGAAATCCAGAAATTCGCTTTTAACGGCTTTCACGTATGCTCGTACAACTTTCAATATTCACTGATGCTTGCACGGTGTTGAAATTCGCCACCGCCGCTGATCGAATTAGACGAAGAACGTACAAAGCCCATACTTCTCAAAGCAAAGCCGATAACTTCATTACTGCTTTGGCCTCTTGATGTTCGTTGATTGGGTAATTTGTGCAATTAGTCAGAACGGACTGAAAATTTGACCATTATTTTAACAATTTTCTCTAATAAAATGTTGTGCTAATGCTGTATTTTTTATTTCTAGACTGGATTTTTCCCTTATTTGCCAGACAAAAGAGACAAAACGTAAAATTTATCCCTTTTTGTTGAAAGTTCCGTCGAATACTTTGATTTGTTACTCGTGCAAGTTTGTCTTTTGGTGCTGCCATGCAGAAAACGAATTGGGATAAAAAAAAATGTCCTTTGACTGGAAACAGACAGAGAAAGGCCTTTCGATAATTTTAACTCCACAGATGTCAATTGACACAGTTACAATTCAAAGGATGGAAATAACGCTACAATTCGTAAAAACTATATTATCTTTGATAATATTGTTATTCTTATTCTATTCTAAAGTGGATCAAGAAAAAAAACAACATTTGCCATATTCCCAAAAAGTATGTCAAATATTTTAGGTAAAAACATTCCAGAGGAAATTGACTTTTACCCGGAAATATTATTACATGATATTTCTTTTACAAAAACGTAAGGATTCCAAGGTTAAAATAAGATTAAAGTGCTTAAAAGGGAAAATAAAGAAATATTTTCTATCTTTCTGTTATGGCCTATTTCCCATAACGAAATCACGCCTGGTACTTACCGACATACAAGCAAAAGCTTTTGGAATAGAAACGAATTTCTACCATAGCCGCATTTTAGTCCCGATCTCGCTACTTCAGATAATTACAAATTTCAAACAATCGACCTTCTTTGTTTAAGAAGGGAGTTATTACTTATTTCCCAAGAAAAAAATAGAAATATTTGAAAAATATTTTTGAGAGCATTCACATTAGTCCTTAATTAATTAATTGTTCAATTGATTAAGGAAAATACGCTCATACAGTCCAGACCTTACTCTATCTATCAGCACTTGCACGAGAATTTAGAGTTTTAGCCCCAAATTACTAATTTGATGCATATAACAGGTCGGATTACAACACTGCTCACCTGGATAACAAACCTCGCACCTTCAGAGTATAACAACTTCACAGCAATTGGCCCATTCCTTAGTGCTCAAGATACTCATTACTCATGGTTCCTCTTCCAACGTCAGTCAAATAATTGTCCCAATTCTTTACAGAAATAAAGCCCGTTTTCTTATATTTATCCAGCAGAAAATAATTAGCTTCCTCTTCTCCATACAGTTTACACCTTTCGGCTTCAGACACCTTTTGAACTATGGTTTAGTTTCTTAAAGATGAACCGAAACGGAAAACAGCTAATCGACAGTCTAGATGCATAGAAGCATTTGTGGAAGGAATCAAATTTTTATCCAACCTACTCTAAGGTCTAGACCTCGCCCCTTCAGACTGCAACTAATATTTATATCCATACTTTTGTCCGACCTATCACAAAACGTAAAGAAATTTTTTTGAAATGGAAGGTCTACAGGTTTTTTGTATTTACACACCGTTACCAGGTCTCCGCATAGACGGCAACTTTTGCATCATCTCCCCACCAGGAGATGACCGTGCGTGAGACGGGTGTGGCCTATCCTCAACCTTGTTAATATTGTTTTATTTCTCACCGTTTCTTTATGCACTTTTAATTTTTCGTTCATCTCGTTCCAGCTGGCCTGCCATTGTAGATTAAATTTCTCATTTTTCTTTTCAGAACTTCCGGGCTGATCAGGATGCCCGGGTCGTGCGGGTTAATTAGACTTTTTATCTCAACTAAAAACCTTAATTAATTGAATGATATTAATTTGTCAAGCGGTCCATGAAAAATAGTGAATTTAATTAATTAAAATGATGTATACTTCACTAAAGCTCTCCGTTGCCATTTCATTTGACGCCGAGAATCAAATAGATTACACGTCATTTGAAAAATGGCAAAAAGGAGGGAAAATTCAAAAGGTGGGGTTGAAATGGGAAGTTAGTGTCCGAGTGGATCGAAGTCACGATAGCTCAAGTGGTAGAGTAACAGCGTATCAAGCCGAAGGTCGTGGGTTTGGAATACCGCTCGTGACACTGACTTTTTTATTTCAACTAAAAACCTTAATTAATTGAATGATATTAATTGGTCAAGCGGACCACGAAAAATATTGGAATTATCATTTATTGTTGAATAGAAGTCAAAGAGTGATAATTATGTAAGAGAGCGATCAATTACATTAAAGTACGTTTCTAGTCTGAACGTGCAAGATCTGGATGGCAGAGTCAGTGTGGTAACTCGATTCGATCCAAAAGCTGATGATTCTAATGGAAGTGTCCGGGCTTCTACCAACAGTGATAGAAGTGATTTATTTCTGTAAGCGTGTGAGCCAATTATAAAAAAGACGTTGCAGGTTGAAGATGTACGTTCTGAATAATAGGAACGTTGAGGATGTTCTATTCGATGCGAAAATATTTACCTCTATATCTGGCATTGGTAGGCATTTATTTCCTTAATGATCTGAGTCAATTGTGCAAAACGTATCGTTTTCAAATAATGGGCTTATTCTGACAAAAGAATGAATGCTATAAAATTGTTATTGAATAATGGTTGTAGTCGGAAGGTGCGAGGTCGTGATAATAGAGTCCACGTAATATTCGGATCAGAATATTACTTTTACGTCTGGAATTGCTATGCTACATGTTTTTAATCAGCTGGGCCAATTATTCAAAATTTTTAGATTTCCCAAAATCTGCTAGGTCAAACAATATTTAGGAACAATGCAATAGAACATCCCTGTATTGGTTGTAGGCTAAAAAAGAAAGGCTCGGGCTATATGATGGTATTGGATTTAAATAGATTGTAATTAGTTGTAAAAAACCTTAATTTATTAACAAAGGTTTCATATTTTCAAAAATTCGGACAAGTTTCAGCAATGTCGATCCGTTTGAAAGATATTGAAGGACATTTTGTCGCTCCCCCCGCCCCAAATTATTAACTTCGGACATGGGAATTGATTGCATATAACCGAGTTTTTACTATATTTCGACTCCAGACCCTAGTACGTATTTTGTTGTCAAGTACAGTCAAATTATTAAGTTTGAAAAAATGGATTGTCATAGAAACTTTAAGATTTTAGAAATACTGAGGCCGGTATTTTTTTGAAATTTGCGTTGTTTTTTCCTATGAAACAGCACAATTATGAAATAATTTTTTTCTATAATTAACGTTATCAATTTTTTTTTTTTTTTTTTTTTGCTGGGGCTTCCGACATCTAGGTCATTTCAGCCCCCACTAAGTCTATACTCTATACACGTTCATACAAATAAATACATTTATACACTTAAATACATCCATACAGTACACTCATTCCGTTTGGTCGGTGGAGCACTTGATATTCCTCCACCGACCTACACTTAAACTAAACTAGATTGGGGTCGATGGGGTACTTTTATAAATATTCCGCCATCGACCCCGAACACACACTCATTCGCTGTCAACGTTCGAGGGGCGATGATGACGTTATATTTCACCCTCACCCCTTGCCATTCACGCTAATAAATACATGCACTCAGACAAAATATATATATATACAACACATAAGACATATTATATACAATAAAAGAAAACAATTTCCCCTAAAAAGCGGAACAGGGTTACTCTGAAACTCGCTACCGTGCTCGAGGACTCTTCTTAAATCCGGCGGCATGCCTACACGCTCTCTGTATGGAGCCAAGGCATGACACGCCTCTATTATGTGGGACACATCGAGCAACCTTTCTCTGCATAAAGGGCACCTGCGCGGGCTTTGGCCCAAAAGCAGGTGCTCATGTGTCAACCGAGTATGGCCAATCCTCAGTCGCGTGAGGACGATCCCTCGTCTCCTGCTCAGATTCTCTGAGGGCCATCTACCGGTCGTGCTCTTGACTCGCTAGAGCCTCTCCGACGACCCCGCCCACTGACGCTGCCATCTTTCTTTTATCATATTTTTAACTGCGCGTTTAGCGTCAGGGGGCCTGATCGCGATGGTCCGATCTGGAGGGTGGGACGTACCGGCTTTCGCCGCCTCGTCCGCGCGTTCGTTACCCTCCAGGCCGACGTGTCCGGGAATCCAGACAACAACCACCGTTTTTCCAAGAGGCTCCAGCTCCGCATATTTCTCTAACAAGAGCACGACGAGAGGGTCCACAGAGAACCCGTCGCGTATAGCCCAGACAGCACTCAAATTTTTATTAATGCCCATAATTTGTATTTAACCAGAGGGCCCTGCCAGTACAAATTATCTGTTCGTAAATGTTTATAATTGGAAAATTACATCACTACTATATGCTTTTATGGTAATGAAACATAATAAATAATTTATTTTGCTTTGGACTTTTCTCCTTCAGTTAAGATCTGCGAGTTTTTCTGGTAAGTGAAATGTAGGAAAACTGGTCGAAAATATAAAAACTCATAATTTATCTCCTTTCTGAATATGAAAACTTTTATCGTTACAATTAATAAACCCTTGTTAAAATGTTTATATTGTACATAATTAGCATAACCCTGGTTATCAATATTGCACATGTTGTTGCAGATATTTGAGGAATGTCAGCGTGGAAGGGGAGCAAGGAAAGCCCAATGTGGAATTTACGGCCGACGGCGTCTTAAAATCTGCGGAATTGAAGATAATGAATCTTCGACCCGGAGGAAGCAAACAGCTGGTCTGGGAGGAGGTAATACAGCTAAAAGACTTTTTTAATCCGACTTCATTTTACATCAGACCGTAAATTACCATTCTGCCTCGGAATTTAACGGATTTAATTTTAAGCTTGAGGTCTAACTTAATCCGTTTGGAATTCAACGCGTTCGCGTTTTGAATAATGGCAATATCCACAAGGTAAATCGTAACGATCATCTCTACAAATTTGACCGATGAAGGCCTTGAATTTATTAAATACTTTCTTCTTTATTGAAAAAATATTTACCCATAAACTCTAAACACTAAATAGCACAGTATTACATAAATTCAATCCCTCGTCGTTTCAGCACAGAATAAATCCATCACTGAACCTTTCAATTAAATATCGAATATGCTGGAAATAGTAATTATACGAAACGGTAAGAATTGATTAGACATGGCCTAAGTTCTGCGCACAAGCAGTTTAGACATAGTCAAGCCAATGAATTCAATTACCAGAGCACAAGGATTTCCGTCTCCCGACAACTTTTTAATCCTTGATTAATATTCATTACTCCTGGGAATCGTCGTAGATTGTTACTTACACGCAATTGAACAAACTAATAAACACACAACCTAACAATCTCCCTCTCGAGAACAAATCTATACAAACATCCATCCCTATTTGATTTCCATTTTTAAAACAAATGTTTGACGAGTATATATTTTCCAACACAACCAATGTTTGTTTGGCTGATTAATGCTGACACAGCTAGAATAGCACGAGAACTGCCTATTTATACAAAATGTTGACTTTTGGATTGAGTACATGATTCTGTAAATTCATTTTTTATTGATCCTTATGACATCTACCTTTAGCACATAATTGCACTTTGCTTTTTACAATGATAATCCACGAATTATAACGATTATATAAACACTATATTCATTGGTGGGTATGGTATGGTATGGTGAAAAAGGATACTAGGAAGCGGGGTTTGCCCTCCCCAGGCACTGCAGCCTTCTGGCTTATTGTACATTCCTAGTTCCTTAGTTCAGTGCAATAGACTCAATCCTTCTCCTTAGAAGTATCAGGACATTGACTGTCGCTGCTGCAATTTGATTCCTTAAGTTTTTTCCATATGTTAGGTTAAATCTCCATTGAGCTGTTGCTTCGCATTGGGAGATGATATGAGTGGCTGTTTCCTCCTCCTAATTACATAATCAGCAAACGGGATCATCGTTGTATATACCCATGTTGTGTAGATGTTTTCTCAGATGCCAGTGACCGGTTAGTAGTCCTACCACCCCCCTGAGTTTGGCCCTCTCCAATTGCAGCAGTACTTTTGCCAGTCTTGGTGAGGGTTGTTTGTCATAATTTTACTATGTCTAGCACCGCTAGAGTTTATCCACTTCTCCTTTTGTTTTGCTTGAATCCATTCTGCGATGGAGGATTCTACATTTGTTTTTGTTATTCCAAGAATAGGTTCGGGGCCTATGTATGGTCTTGCAGATCCTCCTCTGGCTAGTCTGTCTGCTTTCTCGTTACCCAAAATTCCCCTGTGCCCTGGCACCCGAGATATCATCAGGTTGTTGTGTTTCCCCAGATTTTGGAGATTTTGGATGCATTCACTGACTAGCTTTGATGTGATTCTTTTACATGCTGACTGATCTTATGAGGATTTTTTTGTCAGTGTAAACTCTTTTAAGATTTTCCAGGGCATAAGCATTGATGGCATTGAAAGACCGAAGTATACTTCCTGATGAGTTTGATTGCTCATGTTTTGGGCTTGTACAGAAAACGCCTGCTCCGGTTTCTAAGTTTGTTTTGGAGACATCTGTGTACCATATCATTGTATCTGATGCTCTCCTGTGTTCTTCTTTTCCTTTATACTCCGTTGAGACTTTTTTAGGAAGTTGTGAAGATTGTTTCCGGGATCATGTAATCAGTCCCCACGTCTAATAATGGGTGTCTGATTTCGTCGATTATGGTTGTGTGCCCGAATTGTTTAGTTCCTTTCCAATTTAATTATTTCTGGAGCCTAACTGAGCTTTTCCTAGCCTCTCCTTGTATGAATATTTCCAGTGGAGGTAGGTTTAGCAAAGTTTCTAATGCATTTGTAGGGGTTGTTATTGCCCCTGTGATACATAGGTTTGCTAGTCTTTGTATGCTGCCTAATGTTTGGGTAGCTACATTTTGTTGAGCTTTGTTCCACGAGATTAGTGATCCATAGATTATTCTGGGTCTTATTACTGCCGTGTATAGCCAATAGGCCATTTTCGTTTTTAATCCCCAAGATTTGCCTAAGGTCCTTCTTGTGGTCATTAGCGATATTTTACCTTTTGCTATAGTATGTTGCAGGTGAGGATTCCAGGTTAATTTCTTATCAAAGATTATTCCTAGGGATTTGACTTCATTTTTTAGTTGCAGCATTTCGTTATAGAAACGTAATCCTTGTATTTCTATATTTCTTTTCTTGGTGAAAGTGGTGGTATTGGTGGGTATTTTTCAATGTTTGTTTTTCCCCTTCCATCCTCTGATATGTTGTTCTCCATATTGCTTCGTGTTTTTTCCTTTTGTATCTACCATTGCACATTTTTCCCTCACTCACTGTAGTGTATGATTTTTTCGTTATCAATAAATTCTTTTCAAAAATAAATGCCATTTTTTCCTTTCTTGCGATATATTTCGAGTTTCTTCGCTTAATCTCTCCGTTGTTGTCTCTTCCTTCCTGTTTTTAAATTTATTTTATCCCTAGCTTTCTCTCCCCCTCCTTTGTTACGTTTGTGAAACTTTCCTCCTCCATCTCTCTTCATCATTCTATCATTCTCCATCGTCTCCCTCGTCAATCACTCATTCTCTCCCTGGCTTTCCCTGCCTTTTCTTTCTACCTCTCTCCCTCTCTTTCTCTCTCTCTCTCTCTCGCCCTCTTCCTCTCCCTCTCTCTATCTCTGCGCAAAAATTAATAGGGATATTTGTAATTTGTTCTTATTTTTTTTTAATTTTCTTTAAATAAACCGATATATTCTTGTTAGTTGGATTAATATTACTCATTTTGTAAACCAACAACTCTCCTCGTCTTTCCTCCATTTTAATCCAGTTGTTACCTCTTCAATCATGAAAAGGCATTATCTTGAACCAGAATTTCACAATATTATTGTGAGAATGAGTCATCGAGGTCACCCGTAAGTGGATATCGCAAAGACAGTTAGCGTTTCTTCGATTGTGGCATTACGACGCAAAGGGAGGTCAGCAATTTTGTCATTGCGGTAAGACCCTCTCCATAGTGGCCGCCAAATCCTACATGAAGTAGAAGATGTTTTGCCCATGCCTTAACAACACAAATGATTCGTAATCGTTTGTGGAAAGTTGGCGCCACATCGTATGCCATTTGAGACGACCTGCAGCAACAGCCCGCCACCAGCAGCTCAGGAGAATATGATTCAGCGATGTACTGATGCGTCGCGTTTCAGTCTGTAAGTTTCTCCTGCAAATTCAATTCCTCAGTGTGAAAAAAGTTGAATGTAAGATTAAACATAATCCATAATAAAGCAAAACCATCTCAAATAATCACAACACATTGATACGGAACATCGCATCCTCAAATTTGATAAAATCCAAAATGATAATAAATCCAATTGGCAAAACAACAGCACTACGTATCACATTTAATTTACACTGACCGAGTTCAGTAAAACCATGTTTAATAATATTTGATATAATTCATAATTGTTTAAGTATATTACCTGTAAAATAAAATCTGTTTTTGTAGTCTTTATCATCGCATACTAAATAAACGTTCACTAAGAGAACTTTACTTAATGTTGATGGTTTGGCTGAGTGGAACAATTAGGCTATATGCCGGTAGTTCGTCCTTCTACATATACCACTGCTGAGTACAGTAAATATAAAACGGTGAAGTTTGTATCTTCCTATATTTTACATCAGAGAAACTAATTCTGTAGTTTTTGGGACGATAACCCATTCAGTAATTTTGCGACTATAGAGTGTTAGCTTAATTTTTGCTTCTATAGGCTGTTAGCGCCTCCAAATCTGAACCTGAAAAACGCGGGAAACGTGTATCTTACCGGAAGCCGAAGGCCTGCTGCACAGCTGAGAGCGGAGAAAACAGATGTGAAATGGTCGCCAGAAATTCCTAAAATCTCTAGTTTCTGCAAATTCTGACGCCTTTATTTATATGGGACTGAACTCGCCTGGCACTAATAAAAAGTGTGAAAGTTTCATCGAAATCGGTTCAGTAGTTTTCGGTTTTGTCATTGACACACAACATCAACATAAGTTTTCTTCAACAAAATGCAAAATTCCAGAAACGCAATCCATAAAGGTGGATGCTAATTGTGGAACTTTTGAGGGAATTTACAAAGCTCCTGGATTTCGTCAACATTTTTCGTTTCTTTCTGAAATATTCGTGCAGAATATTTTCATCAATTCATCAATGTCCATAATAAACAACCTAATAGAAATAGACGTATATAGAAAACCCACAACTATAGACACTATGATACCAGCGGATTCTTCCCACCCATGGTCTCAAAAGGCTGCTAGTTTCATTTGCCTCATAGACCGTATGCTAAAAAATCCATTAACATCTGCCAACTATAAAAAAGAATTAGAAACTATTAAAACCTTAGCAAAAAACAACGGGTACCTAGAAATATTTATTGATAGGTTGCTGTTTAAAATAATAAAAAATTTAACTTTAAATGAATCAACAATAGGACTCCGCCACCCCACCACAAATAAATCATTAATTTTCCGTTGTTTGCCATACATTGGTGAATTATAGGAAAAAGTTAGTAAAATTACAGTTAATTAAGGTTTTTAATTGAGATAAAATATTATAATTATTATTTTATTTTATTTTAATTAATTAATTGTAATATATTAATTGGTCAAGCGGACCACGAAATTGGTGAATTTAATGAAGTTAGTAAAATTTTTAAACAAGAAGGTTTTAGAATAGCTTTTAGAAGTACGGGTTCACTTAAAAACATCCTCTCAAAACCTAAAGACACGGTAGACAACTTGGCAAA